GACATAAGGCAGTGTCACATGAATGATATTAAGCACTGTGACAGCACTTCTCATCTGTGTGAAATCTGTTAAGAAGAGAAATTCAGGGTAATAAAAGATAGGTTTAGAATTGCATAAAACTCGCTGACAACAACAGACATTCAGCAAAATAACTGCCCTTCCTCTGAATGGAAAAAAATCCCAAACTGCCACACAGTTAAAATTGTTGACAACTGATTCTTGCTAATCAACAACTGGAAGTCACCCCTTCCTCTACAAGACTTAAAAGGACATTGCATGCACTGGGAAGCTGTCACTAACAACATAGGTTATTCACCAGTGAATGTTGTTTCAGGTTTGGGATTCCTTTATTTCAACAATTTGGTATTGACCTGCAGTACCTTAGGACTTACAAACCAAAACATGCTTTGTGGATAAGGCAGTTGCCAGTTTTTACTACTTCTTTCAACCTTCCTACATATGGTCTCCACAGTGCCAGGTCCTCCTGTGCTCAAGTGTCTGGGATAATCCCAACCAGGAACAAGTTACCTGGTGTTGTTGGAAAGCTTTTGCAGATCCCACTGCAGTGTGAAGCAAATGGTTATGTCTGAAGAAAATTCTTTGATAAAGGAGGAGTACCTGCCTCATATAAAGGACCTTCATATCCCGATTTGTTGGGGTTATCCCAACATGTATGTATGCATGGGGTTATCCCACACATGTATGCATGAGAGAACACATAGTAATATATGGCTTACCCAAACCAATGCAACTTTCCAATATTACAGATTAACAATTGAACTGGGCATTCCGTGGTTGTTCTGAGCTCCATCTAAACAGATGAAACTTGACAAAAAAATAGTAGCAGTGATCTCTATGGATGAATACTTCTAACAATTTTCCATGCCATTTTTCACTGGACAAGTTCTAACTCCTGTTTTCTGTGTAACTTCTGTCCTGTGTGACAGAAAATAACCTGCACTGATTGTGGTACTGACTGTCTCAGTCAGGTGTTTCTCAGGTGTTGCAGAATATCAAATAAAATCAGAGAAAAAGATGTGATAAAAATGCACAGGTTGGAGGTGAGAAAGATCAGTTGGAGCCACAAGGAAAACGCAGGAAAAAATAGGGACAGCTGTGTCCTACCAGTAGCTATAATAACATAACATTAAAGAAATACTCAAATTTCCTACTGTTTTCAAGATTTCAGAATAGGGTCCCAGAAACACAAGTCTTAAAGTGTTGTGTGGCAGCAAATTTGTCTTCCAGCAGGAACCAAAGAGAAAGAAAAGATGCAACTGGAGACTGGGTTTGAGTGACAGGATTCTAGTCTGTTATGGCTTTGCCTGACAGCAGAAAATGGAAATTACACCAGACTTCTTTCAAAGTCAGACATTATTCTAAGAATGGTTTGGAGAAAAAATAAATCCAAAGTAGGCACCTATGGGGCAAACAACATCCATGAAAATAATTCCTGCTTGTCTGCAATACTTTCTGCCTCTGCAAACAAGGATCTGTATTTCTACTGGTTTTAGCGAGCTTTCCCCCCCCATTTTTGTTTCTTAAAACTGTTTTTTATTTTTCCCAGATATTCCATTGGCCAATGGAATTCTTTCAGTGAGTTGGGTTTTACTGACGATTACCACATCCACTTTAGCGTATCTACATTAGCATATCTTCTGAAGTTCCATTTAAATGAATATACTGCTATTAAAACAGAATTTCTGTCATACCCACAATTATTTTCAACACTCTTCTCCAAATTCTTTTTAAATTATCCACTTCTTAATGATCACCTTTGACCACAACCACCTAAGGTATAGCTGAACAACGACCATGGCCAGATAACCTATTTTTAAATACTTTTGCCAATCTATAATAGGTGCTCAGAAGTGCTAAACTGAAATGAATTGTTTAACACACATTAGATAACGTATTTCATGTTCCTAACCTTGACAGGCACCCTGAGCCCATATTCATCTATTTAACTATGTTAATTTAGACATTAGTACAGTTACAGTGGTGCAACACATCAGAATGAAGACCATGCAGCACAGAAGGAACATATTTGGTGCAGTTTATCTTGACAGTATATAATATTATTATATCTGAAATAGTATTGGTTTAATGATATAAAATATTTTCCGTACTGAAACAGTTAACTGCCAGAAAACCTTGAGAAAGGCTGTGTTTGACAGAAGGGGAGGAGAGGGAAGATGAGACACATGATAGGGAGGAAAGCCTTAAAGATAAAGCTACATGGATGAATCTTTTTTAAAATTCTGTTATTGACACAGTCCTGTTAGTGACAGTAAGTGAGGCTGATCTGAGCAGGACACCCTTTGCAAATCTTGGCTTTTCAAAGGAACCTCTGGTTTTGAGATAATGGAAGCTCAGAACTCCCTGTCATGGAACATAATGTGAAATTGATTTTTCAAGGCTTTATCTACACAAAGTTGCACTGGTTTAATTAAAGGTGTGTTTTTAAATCAATTTTGTTAAAGCAGTCCAAGCTCCTGTGTGGACACTCTGAAATCGATTTGGAACTGTCTTATGTCAACTAACCTCAATTTGGCAAAGAACCACTTTACACTGAGTAGTCACCAATTTAAGTTGATCCAAAAGCAGGGTTAAAAATAAAACTTATCTGAAATTGTAAGACTTTAATGAATTTATCTGTTTCTGCCCTAGCTATGCCAAACCATGCTGGCCTCTAGTAGCCTAATTAATTGATCTGTTTAGGGAGCAGATGAACTCGCTACTTGGATTTATGGCCCTTTGACAGATGGACATTTTTGAGAAAGGATATAGTGAAACCCCTGTGAAAGCACTGAGTCTGAAACCAAAAGGTGACAGGTGTAAGGAGGAAGAAGTGATGAATTGCGGAAGTCGCTTTTCCCTTTTCTAGTTTCTTTGTTTCTTTAATGCAGAAAGAAGATGAGCAATGAGGCTCCCTCATGTCCAGTGAAAGCTCCCCCATGCTGTAGTACTGGGGAACAGATTAAATAACCCACAATCAGTGTAGGGGTGCTTGGGAAATCAGACCAACATTACGCTGTCAGTGTGACATCTAACACCACTGGAGCCAAGATAAAATCTCTCCTTTCTTATGGGTCTGGCAGGGGATAGAAAGGATTTTAAAGATCCACTGCAGACCAGCTATGTGGATATTCAGCAGAGTTCAAGGATTTCTGTGTAATCCCGGTCATTTGCACTCCACTAGGCCACAAATGAAGGTCTGCATTCAAGCCCACAGCTTACAGAAACGCATTTGTGTTCTTTCCACACCCGAGAAACAGACAGGAAAGCAGGCAGTGAAGTTGCTACCGGTGTGGCCCTAAGGACATGTCTACATGTTTGCTGTTCTACAGACAGGCACAATATTGGTCCCTCCAGCCCAGAGCAAGGGCCTGATCTTGCATGCAAGAACAGGAGCCTTCTCCCAGGAGAACAAAGGGGTAAAATCCTGCAAAATAGGGTGTTCCCCCAAGCCCCTGAGTATTTGGAGCTATACATACTCAGTATCCCAAGTGGGTAAATCCTAACGCAAAGCTGAGCAGTGATCAGGTAAGTACCAGCCTGCTCAAAGATGGTTTTTCAACATTTATCTTTTGCATCAGTTGTGCTACACCAAAAATTTGTGCATGACACTAACAGGACTTAAAATCACATATATATGCTCATGGTGAACTATAGCTCGAATTATTGAGAATAGTAGCCCTAATTATTAAGTTTTATTTTAAAGCACTTAAAACTATCCATGAGAGCAAGTGCTCTGTATTCTTGCACTCCTCTGAAGTGTTCCTAATGGGCAGTGTGCTACTTTACTTTGTGTTCTCTTCCAAAGATTTATTTTCAGAGTGAATCCTGTGTGAATTTCTCCTGAATCAAACTCTTTCCCTGGTGAGACTATATAATCCTGATGTCTTGTTAGAGCAAAAACCATCTATGAGACTTCATTCAAAACAAATCCCCTGTCAAAGTTTCTTCCTTTTCATTTGGACATTTATCCTTCTGATAATATATAAGGAAGAAATTCTTTTGTTGTCTGGTTAAGATTTGTAAAGAGGACAGTATCAGTCTGCCAGAAATGTAAACAAAGAGATTTGCAACCTTTGCAGCGCTAGAATACATTGGGCAGTCATTCACTGCATATGGAGGAAAAAGAGCATTACTGCAGTAGTTCAATGGAAAAAAACCCTCAAATATAGGGCTAGTTATAGTTCACTCTGATTATAAAAGTTTCCATAGATAAAGAGGAGCTTTTGGGTTCCAGCTTCATTATTTTAAATCCTCCTTCCATGTCACTATTAACAAACTGCACCCTGATATGTATTGCATCTACTGGCATTAGTCATGACTACACCTACTGTCTGTAATGGGATGCCATTCATCAGCTTGGTAGGCTGAAAATTAAGTGATTTTCCTGGAAATTGTTTCTCAGCAGAATCATTTGATCCACTGTAGTTAAAAAACCATGTCATTGGTTGCACTATAAATTCCATTTTACAGTCTTGATTTTATTTTCTTTTTAATAAATTAATTGTAGTATTCCTCTAGGCTTAATGTGGGCATAAAAGGTTTTGGCTGATGAGCAAATCTTTTCCAAACACAAGAATTTTCAATTCTAACACTTCTAAATAACAGTGGCATAAAAAACCTCACAGGAACAAACTTGTTTAAGTCAGTCACACAAATGAAAGTTGACAAGTGATTAGGTCCTCCTGGGAATGAATTGTTTTCTACGTTCCAGGGGAAAAAAATGTCATCAGTGACTTTGGAAGTGGCCTGAAGCATGGGTTTTGGAAATCTAATACTACAAATACCAGTTTAAACAATTACATACGTAAGCAACTTTTCTAACACAAAGCTGGCACGACAAAGTATGAAGTTCAAAAAACCACCACCTCTTGTAAAATGCAAGCAGTATACACACTCGCAAAAACTCAGCATCAGACACATACCACACATACCAGTGGTGCAGAAGACATAATAATCAGATCCTTAGACATGACACTTACTTCATACTCCTCTTTAAATCCGTAGCCTTCTGCACACTTCATCTGTGTGATGTGCTGTAGCAAGTCAGCTACACGGATGGCTGGATGGAGCTGTCCGGTCTGGTAGGGCACATCCACTGGATCTCTCTTCTTATACGTATGGGATTGGACCAGGCTGCTTGTGTCACTGGCCATCGTGTGGGTTTCATCTAGAAAAAGAGTATCTCATCATCTACTGGCTCATTTTCACTTATTGAATGAAATAGAAACTACAAAGATTTCTAGAGGAATGGCAGAAATCTGACACCATCAGCATTGGTTCTGTCTGTGAAGGCTACACCAGAAGAACAGTAAATCCATGAGCAGTTTACACACGGAAATTGCAAGACTGATTGGAATGAGGCAAAGTCCATAGTTCTACAATGGAAGCATTGCAGAGCAGTCCAAACTCTAAGATTGTTTTAAATATTGCTAGCTGATTGCAAACAAATTTTAAAACAGGCGTTTTGTTTTAAACTGCATAGAAGTTTCATTCTGAAACTTCAACAAGTCCCATAGAATGAAACTGGACTTGCATCTTTTATAGACTACTAATGTGTTGTATTTTACACTGCAAATTTAGAGCAAATGTTTGGAGTGAGCAAAATAAAAAGATGCACAAAATGGCTTATGGTTTCATCAAGCTAGGACTGCAATGGAAATGGAGATCTGAAAACGACACTTGGAGACAAACTACAAGAGGACAAATGCAAAGGATCATCTGGTAAGGAGAAATGTCTTGACTGACTGCTGAACATGCTTTAGGACCACGGTTTATCATGAGCCACCATATCAGGCATGGAATGTTATATGTCAACTGACATGCAAGCCAACAAACAGGAGACCCCCGTGGGCTGGTTAAAGTTTTTATGAGACACATACTTCTCCCAACCCTCCACATCTTTTCCATGGGGCAAATGGGCAACTTACCATTGATTGGCACTTTTAAGAAGATACATATCAGGAGAAAAAAAGAGGAGGAGAAAAAGGAAACAGGGCATAAGCAACAGTACTACATTAATAATTACAGGTAATTTTATGTTTTTAATTAATTTAGTCTTTACAGAATGATTCCCTAAATGAGTCAGATTCTGATCTCAGTTTCACAGTAGAAATTAGATTTACTAAAACCAAGGTGTCATACTGTGAGTCAATTCACACAGATGGAACTGAGATCAAAACCCATACTTAGAAGTAAATAGATGTGAAAGTGCACTCTACCTAAGGAAGCAATATGACTTGCTTCCTGTATAGATGGAATTCTAAAAAATTTATTCAGACTTGACAAGAGAAAAAACCCACCCCAAATTCTAAGGTCCTAGAATCATCATAAATATTTTATCTGTTTACTCAAATAGTAATTTTATATATTTTAGAGTTTTTAAATTTTAACCAAAATTGTTAAATGGTGCTTTGACTTATTCAAGCTATTCCTCTCTGACTGAACATTGAAAAAAAAAACCCCTAAATCTGTATAATGTTTATAAAATAAGGTATTTTTTTAAAAAGTACTACTTTGTACAATAAGCCATATGAAAGGGAAGCATTCAAACAATATTTTCACTTTTATAAGTTAGATATATTATAGCAGAAAGTTCCACAAATACCCTGTATGGATTCTCATGTACACACCAAAAATACTAACACACCTTGTTAAAGGTGAGATTCTGGGCTTAGCTGTACTAATCAAATCATATTTCAAAGATGGTTTGAGGTCCCCTCAATTCCCACTAAGACAAATGAAATCTGGTCCTGACTAATCATACAGTCAATATGAACTATGCATTGACATCTAAACCAAAAACAGCAGAAAAAAATTGTATGGGTATGAGTATGGCCACTTCACTCCTTTTCCTGTCAGACTGCTAATCTGGTCTAATGCAGAGGAAAGGGATTCATCTTTTAGTCATAAAATTTTACAACTTTTGTCTGATGTGGTATAAAATTGTTCTGCAAAGCACCTTGGGATGCATGGCATGAAGCGTGGTATACAAGTGTAGGTACAGTATGTTGCTGCTGAAATGGCACCTGAAAACTACAAGGTGGCTAAGACACAAAAGACAAAAAAAAGTGTAGAAAGTTGAGAATGATTTTTTTGGGTTGCTTATTTCAATTTTAGAAACAGGTTAGAAAATTTGAAGATTTTTTTTTCTTTTTTACAAACTGCAAAATTCTTTGCAACACAGACTGTAGTAATTAAGATGAAGGCAAAGTTATCAAAGTCTTGTACTATGCAAGCATCAGTTTAATACTTATGAACTCTTTCCTGCAAGCTCCCTAGTTTTAGACTAAGTTTCCTCTTTCAGTTTCTTTATCTCTTATAGCTGCATTAATACAGAAGGAGTTATCATTTAAGCTTTTTTAAATAAAGTGGTTTTAATCCTTGGTTTATATAATACATTAGGAGCCGTGTGTATTACAGTATTTTACTTTGCCTCTGAGCACTATGGCATGAGCTTTTCAGGCTGTGAGTTTTCCAAAGGGTGAGCACCTCCAGATGCAGTGTCCATGTGCAAATGGGAAGTTTGCCTGGTTTAAATACTCCTGGAGCTGCAGTTGTCCTACTGTAAACTTACCCACTCCCATAGAGCTACACAACATTTATTAAATAATATACTTTGGAAACAGTAAGTGTGATGTGGCTTTTCTATCAGATTTTGAAAGCTGAACTCAACCATTCACCAGACTTGTACCTTTCCCAGGAGGTCACACTGAGATAATTTAGTTCTAACTATGGGCTCGATCCTGCAGTTTAACACAACTTCTTTGGACAGTGGAAGACAGCAAGAGAAGATATCACTTGGAATTAAAACACTGCATGCTTTGTTAACAGCTGTATTCCTCTACCAGCTGAAGCATAGTTAATTTGATTTACCTCAGATACAATACTATTTCTGTACAGACAGTCAAAAGCACATATTAGGAGAGAGATCTAATCTGAATGGAACACCGTTCATAAAACAGTACTAAATTTTTAACATGTAAAGTTACAAAAATATTTATTTTATTCAGTGAAATAACAAAAATATTTTCTGAGATGAGTAAGCACAGGTTTTCAGTAGTAGGCCATAAAATACACACCTAACTAATTAAAGGATTTTACAGTCTTAGTAAAATCAGAGAATTTATTTTTCCCAGTGTGTGTTTACCTGATAGCTGAATTACTTGCTTAGAGATTATTTCTTGGGGGAACAAAATGCTAACAAATAATTTTACCATTGTTGCTACACAGAAAAGGATCACAAAAATAACCAAAAAAAAAGGCTTTAACTAAATAATACAAATATGAAATCTCTAAGTTTTTCTCCTGATAATAGTACTTTTCTCCTTGCCCACCCACAAGGTCAGAAAGAACATCTACTGCATGAAGCGTTGAATGAATGCTAAAGCACACAAAAAAATCTAACATCTCAGGCAGTTAAAAGGCACTGCAAATTTCATTTGCATGCAGATTATTACATTGTTACAGTCACTACCATTACCTTCTTCCAGATTTACATAATGTATAAAACCAACAAAGTTCCTTCTCAAAGTTATCACACTGAAGTGCACTGCACTAAATATTCTTTCACAATAACAAATTTTCAAGATCACCTTCCTAAACTTTTACTTCTTATATACTTTATGTCTATGTAAGCCTGTTTAACTTACTGTTTAAGGGCAGGAATCAGTTAAGGGGTCTTAATTTTTTACAGTGATTGGAAGAAAAAAGAGCTGAAAATATTTACTGTGAAAATATACATTGAAAAATGAATAAATAAATAGGCTTAATACTTAAGGAGTTTGACTTCCTGCTACAGTGCACTGTTATGTTTTGAACTACTATTTACAAACTGCCTCTGTTTAGTTTAAAGTTAGCACGGGAAGGAGGTGTAAATGAATACAAGCAAGGGGTTAGAATTAAGCACTGAAAATGCAATAGCACCTCATGCTTACTATTTATCACTGTGCAGAAACCTCTCTCTTTTTGGCATTGGATAATAGCAGATTTTCCTAAATTCCAAGTGGAAATGCTTTACATTTTAACTGCATGTTTTTAACCTGAAGTTTTACTGTTTTATTTCATCCCTGTGATACCTGATGCATAATAAACTACACACTCTACGTGTCATGTTATCATTTTGCTGTTCAAAATACTATCTCTCTGAAACTTCACTTTTTGACAAGCACGTCAGAAACTCTGCAGAATTGTCAGAAGACATGATAGCTGGTAGATGGCCAGAACTGTATTTTGTCTGATATTCTGTATCCTGAGTGGTTTAACTAGGGAAAAAAAGTTACTTTTAAGAAGTGACATCTTCAGTTCGGAGATAAGACAGAAAAAAAATGAGGAAAATTATTTCAATTGCTGCTATAATCAAATTCTTTTGTGTCACTCCAAATACATGCATAAACATTTCCTTGCAAATCCACTTGTTAAAATTATTTCTGTCTTTTCTCCCCTGACTTGCACTATGGCAGTAGTAATCAAACCTGATAACTGCACTTCAGTGTAGCCAAGTCTACCACCCCTCTCTTTAGCATAAAGCTCCAGCCTTTTGCATACTATTGTCTGCTCCCCAAGAACTGCAACTTCCAAAATTACTTCAGCAATAAACTTTGATAAAGGGAAATGTTCTCACCTAAAATTGCAGTTGGCACAAATGGATCTGTCATACATCATAAGCAGGTCAATGCAGGAAAGGTAAAAAGAGAGAGAACAGTAAATGATTGATACATGTTCCCGAGTTTTCTTTCAGAAAGCTACTGTTAGCAACTGGTATGTTTCTTACATATACATTAAATGTTGATGGCAAGAAGTATAATAACAGAAATATGTATGCTTTTATTATGGAAAGGTATACAGAAGTTGGAAACCAAGAAAAAAACTGGTTACCTGGGTAGTAAGAATTAGGCACTGTTGTGCTCAGTGTGTTAGTTTTCATTGTAAATGAAGATGGTGAAGATACAGCTGCAAAGAGAAAGAAAGCTGGTTAGAGACAGAGATATGATATGCCACTACTTAAGCTGAGTGACACAGCAGATGGGATTGACTTAAGAGTTCATCCTGCTGTGCTTCTTGCACTGGAATCAGGACCCAGTGAAAACCAGGCCAAGTCTAGTGAATGAAATAGCTTTCTGAATTTGATCAATTCCCTAAAAAGAAGTGTTGGAGAAAGCATTTTGATTGCTGATGGGGAAAATACTTCTTAAATCACAAGATTAGACTGGATACTGATGTTTGAAACAACACATCACAATGAGACAAGGTGTTTTTGACATAGGCTTTGATCATTAATAAGTTTTCCTTATAATACTGTAAATACCTTATACAAATATTCTACTGTAGTTTAATTTTTTCTCTCATTTTTGTAATTTGATTTGACAGGTAGATAGTGTGCATAGAGATTCTAATAGACCCTGAATATTACTCCTTGTTTAGAGGTGGTTTTCAGGGAGTGATATACAGACCAATGGTCACATTGGTATTTAATCATTGAACCATTTTAAAAACCAATGGGAAAACCGATGTGAACAAATTAAGTTCAGTTTGCCCCTAGTTTACAAATATCATGTAAATTACCATTGTAAACACAGATACATTCAACAAGTAGGAGCTAATCACAACATTTTACAGGATGTTCAGCCAAAGAGCCATCAAAGGTTTTTAAGCAAAGCTCTTTGCAAATTCCACCTGCTTGTCTACACAGCTCAAATTCAGTCTGACCAGTGAAGGTAAGCATATTCTGGATACCTGTAAACACACTAACAGGAATGTGTGAAACAAAACAGAGCTGAGGAAGACAGGATCTGCTGGTTGAGGAGTGAGATTACTCCTGCTGGCTTTCATCCATCTTTTTTTTTCCAGTTGACCTTCTAGGGCAAACAGTTACTAGCCCTTGTTAATACAGAGATATCTCAAAACAGGCTTAATATATCTGAGACCATGTTCCTTTGATTATGTCTCCAGAATGAGGAGATTACATTTCCTTGATTACCAGAACAGTGAGACTTCTTTTGGGTATGGATACAAGGATTAGTTGAGGTCAGGGCTGCTGCAGGCAATAAAACTTGCTAGGTAGAGAGTGCAAACAGGGTAATGAACTTTCATAGGAAGTAGGAAATGCTGTAAATCTCTTGAGTACAAGGCCTTACACAAAGATTATTCCTGAAGATTGTTAGTGTGCACCTTGTAGTGACCATGTTTCTTATGGAAAGTCTAATTAGAGGTTCTAGCCCTTGAGCGGTATAAAAGACTTGTTATGGCAATAATTTCAAAGAGGTTTGAGGTGGTTTACATAAAGAGGATTTAGTCCCAAGAACTCACTGCAGCTTCATTTGCAGTTATGACCATTCAGTAGCACCACTGGCAAACTGTACTAGGATGAGGGAAGATGAAGTAAAACCTCTTGATCTCTTCACAGAAATAAGCAATCTCATTAACTGCAAGGGTATATTCTCACCAGAAAGGCAGGTCTGATTTGAAAGATCTATTTCAAATCAATTTCAAAAGTAACTCAAATGCAAATTAACATTGCAAATTCTGAGCCTAATGCTGCTGAGAAAAGTCTCACTGTATAAACCTCACAGAGTGTTTGTACAATTGAGCTCATCAAAGATTAAATTCTTAAGCATATTATTAAAGAGTGGGAGATGGGCCTTGCACACTCTTAGTACTTAAAAAAAAATAAGTCTTTGACAAATTCTGAAGACATTAAAAAAACCACTGGCATACAAAAAACCCGTAAGGTTCCTTAAGAACCAAAAAGTTAAAAAAACTTTTTGAAGCTAGTCATTCTTTTAAACAATTATAAAAATCTATTTTTTTTCATGGTGTTTCCTTAATGCGAACCCTCTGACAGAAGTGAAACCTTGACTAAAATTGTAATACAGGAAATTTTATAACCCAAATCTTATTTATTTTCAGGACAGATCCAAGAAGACCCAAGATATTAGAGAATCTCTTATGAAATTGCAGAACAGATAAGTCCACTGAGTTCTTCCTTTGCACAAGCAACAGAAAGAGCATCATCTGGAACTGGAACTAATAAGACAATCATATTATCATTATTAAGTTATTACACTCCAAAATAAATTTATACTACCAAAAAAAAGTGAGCAAGGGAAGCATTTGAAGGACTCAGGACAGCATGAGTGATATAAAATTTTCAACATAATGGAGATTGGAAAAAGGTAAAACTACTGTTTCAGTAATGTCACTGCTCTTCTGCAGAAGAAAAGGATGGACAGAAAAAAGCTCAATTATCCTTATTATTTTTAAAGAAGTCTATTCTTGATGTCTGACTGTCTTACTCATTTGAATAGACACTGTAATGTGCTGCACAGTGGGAAACTCTCGGTCCCATGGATTTTCCATGACTGAGTAATGAGGAATATTTTAAAAACCATTTGCACCTTTCTTTCACCTTCAAAAAAGAAAAGAAAAGAAAAGAAAAAACTTACATCTCCCATTTAGATTGTGCGTGTCCATGAAAGAGAAAGCTTCATCACAGTTGGTGCCTTGCTCAGTGTAGCTTTTATCCATTGAATTCACCATCACTGTCATTTCCTGCCGAGTACTACTCAATGTCTCTTTCCGCTTTTTAGCCAATTTTCTTAAGGAATGAATGATGAAGGAAAAAAAGGAGAAAAACAACTCTCAGTAATCAGACAGTCTTCATGTTGTTTACATCAGTACTGTAGTTTGTGACCATATTATTAAGTAACATTTACATTTGTTTCTGCATTACTGGAACTTTAAATTAATTTTACTCTCGTCTCTTTCAGTCTGATAATCAAGGGATAGTTTCCAGTGCAACTGGCATGAGGTCAACAGCACCTTAATCCTTGGGCACCACCACTGAATTAAAGGGGACTACTTGGCTATGAAGGTGATGTGAGCTACAGAATCAGAGGCTAAATCTGATTAAACATATAAATAAAAATGAAAAGACAGATTTCACAGGAACTGACGAATCTGATGTACTGACGAACTGAGTACTGATGCTCATGTGCACAGAAGAGTCTGGAGTGATTTCATTGTGTTTGAGTTCTGAACACACTGCACACCCAAGAGACATTTCAAACTGACTAGCATTCCTAAAGACTATTTTCTGTTACTCCTGATTTCAGGAGAATTAGTCACACAGAGTTAGTTGCTTCTCAGCAAAGTGGTCTGTCAGAGACAAGATCTTAAATCTGTTACCACAACAGATTCATTAAACTATAGAATTGCCTTGGATGCATATACCTTTTTTTTTTCCAGATTTGTCTGTTTCAGTCTATAGTCTCACTCTCTTCCCCTCAGTTATGCTTAGCTATATCACAAAACAAAATGTCCAAAACACTTGATTTTTTTTCCTTCAACTTCTGTGAGGCAACTGTGATCCTGATGATAGTGGATGACATGAATATTTGGCTTGTTTCCCTGGCCTGTGACTCTGTCTGAGACCAAGCCTTCTCCAAGTTCTTGCTTATAACCTTAAATTTTCCGGATTCCTTCTGTAGAGTATCTTCAAGGTATGGGTTTAAAAAAAACGCAACTGCTCCACAGGCTTTACTTGTCCTGTCAATTCAGTGACTTTCCCTCTGTGGAAAACACAATAAGCCAGCTTGTATTTGTCTGCCAGAAGGATTTTTTATGTATCTCCAACTATAAGTTACAGGACCTTACAATCTCACCTAGGTTTCTTCTAACTACTTCTAGAGGCCAAATGTATCAAGCATAACCAACTCGTGCTCATTTTCAAAGCCTTTCCGTTTGTTAACTCTTATTCAGTATGAAAAACAGTTCCTACCACAGACAAAATTTTATACCAGCCTCCCCTAGATTTTCAAACATTTGTTTCCTCTCATGCTACACAGGAGCCTTTCTGTAACTCTCCTGACTGATATCTCACTTTTCTACTTCAAATCACTGCCTGCAGACAAAACTGCAAAGTACCAATGTTACTGCTTCCTATGCTGATCACTACTGTCTCAGTCTCTTCGTGCTCCCCATCTATCCACCTGTTATCCCCTATCTTTCACCTGGATAAGAAGCCATTTGGGCAGGAGCTGTGGTTGCGTTCTGTACCAATGTAGCACCAAGCTCAGCAGTATCTTAATCCATAAATAAAGCCCAAAATGTCTTTGAAATTAAAGGCTTGCTAAGAATACAAGTAGGAATAGTGAGTGCAGGCATGGTATTGGGTCACTGGACAGAAAAGTATCAAGGGTTACATTTGGCCAATCAGTAAGCTGACAGATTGCCACCCCATTCCTGAGGGCATGTCCCCATGACTGAAACTACACTGACTTCAACACCTGCTACATCATTTGTAGCAATGAGCAATGTTATGCCTTTGTCCATCCCAGCTCAGGAGTCACCTGTGTTTACTTGAGCCTTTTCTTACTCTGTAGACTTGATAATAAAACTGGTTCTTTATTACTCCACAGTGCATAAATGCATAAGGGAGCATGGTCTTCTTGTATCAGAGACAGTTAAGTTTCATTCAAGTACCATAAGTAAAATACAACTCTTAGATCTTTCTCCCTTCGATCCTTCAATCTCCCCACCCTCATTTCACATCTAACTGTAAGTAATAAGTAATATATTAGTCAAAGTAGGATCTGACACTTATTACCTAATATATGAATAACTTAATGGAAGTGCTTTGTAAGGACAGGCTTATCAAAGTGGTGACATGAAATGTACATTTTTTATCCTCTTTCTCCCTTAGATGGCAGTACATTTAGGTGGCAGTCATGCATGGCTCCCCTTCCAATCCTTGGGTCCCATGCTCAAGCTGAAGCAGATTTATTTTTTTAAGACAGTAACAACTGTACAGTACTTCTCAATCTGAATCTAATTCTGGAAATAGGTCTTGTGGGAAAAGTTCAAATCTGAAACAACTTGCAGGAAGAGAGTAATACCAGCCAGACTTCTGTACTGTGAACAGAAACACCCACTGGACTCAGTCAAGTAAACTTTAGCTGAATATAACATTCCTAGCATCTGCAGTTTTTGGATTTCGCTGAAAGTGTTGCAGTGCTGCTGCCTCTGCATCTCATCCATTCCTTGGATCTCTCAATCCCCAAGAGGGTCTAGCTATACAAGATTTAAGAAACTTGTAAAACCATGGTACCTTACATCTCCTCCACCTCTCATACTCTTATATTTGAAGTAAATTTTTTGGGAAAAAAAGGTTTAAATATTTGATCATCTTCACTCATGGAAAGACACTTCATAGCTACTATCTGATGTTTCATCCTTCTTAAAGGAAAAGAGATCTACAACCAAAGGGAAAACATAAAACAGATGGAAACTCCCAGGACAATTACCTAGGATGAAATTGTTTTTGTAGGGAAAGCAAAAAGATCAGCTTATCACACAAATAGTGTTACCATGACTATACGAGGAAAGAGAATGTACTGTATCAGTCCCAGGAAAGGGAAGCCTGATATTCAGAAAAATCTCAAGACTAGCTAGGAACTGTTGGAATTTTAAGACACAAGAAATAGCAAGAAGCGGACTGGTGCAATGGTTAAAATTGAGTAAAATGCAGAGCAGACAAAACACAGACTTCCCCTGCAAAACTGTGTGGGATTTTGTGTATCGTTTACTCTGTTCTGTTACAAATATTAATAAAAACAGTCCAGGAAAGTAATAAGCTAAACAGTTCATCACAATCTGTCCCCATTTTATGTACCATGATGAAACTCTCCAATGATGCATCTTCTCCTGTACAGTCCCTCCTTGATGAAAGGCTCACTCTGTAAAACTTGTGCAAGCTTAACTCAACATCTTTCTCAAAATCCTTCTTCTCAGTGATTTCTCCCTCAAACCCTCCAAGAAACCAACTCCAATAACTGTTAAGTGGCTACTACATTGTCAGCCTATGTCTGGTTTTCCATTTTCCATCTATTTTCCTGCATCCCTTTTCTCTGTCCTGTCTTAAATAACAAACTCTTTTGGACCTAGCTTGCCTTTTCATATTTAAAAAGCACTGGACACAAAGAATGAGGCACAATGGGACACTGCCATAGTCCACAGAGGAATGTAACAAGAGTAAAAATAAAATTTAAAAAAAAGAGGTGACTGGGGTTGTAATGAACTTAGGCCCTGCTAAAAATGTGCCTTCCATTTTAACTCAGGAACAATGAGAAAAGCTTTATGAATTTGAATCTAACAAAAACTTCTTGCTTCCCCATTCCATGCCAAGTGTACTCTCCTTTCTGTATCCGTATGCCTCCTTTCTCACCAAGCAAAGAAAGGAGAAACAAGATGCTACCACTTTCCACAGCTCCAGCAACACACTGCCATCACCAAGATATTCATAAACTAAGTGAGATGAAATTTATCACTGTGCTGCTAAAGGAACTCGGCTGAATTTTTTCTTTTAATTAATGCACTGATCTATTGCACTTCCTGTAACTCACCACTTCCTATGTAATTATTGTTTCAAATTTTATTTCTCTGCTTGTGGACAAATGACATAAATGGTTCAGATGAAGAAAGGATTGGGGGCTTTCATGTAACACAGTAGTGCAGTGCACTTATGGTTGCAAAAGCCTTTAACAGCTTGCTCACCAAACCTCTAAAGAAATCTAAACTACAATAAGAATAACCTTTTAGTAAAATGCTTTAGCAGCTGGTTAGAAAGATGTGATACCAAGGGTAGGGTTAAATGGTTATTTTTTTCATAACAGAGGTACATTTCTAGTGGCTGTCCTACATAAATGCATGTTGGTATTTGCACTATTTACCATATACACACTCATCTAGGAAATGTCCAGAATCTTTTTCAACAAAACACAATTTCTAAATTGTAGTAAAAATTATAAATAGGGTTAAAAAGTTACAAATTTACCTCATGATGTAGAGTGACTGGATATTCACTTAAGGTGAAATTCAGTGTTGAAAGATATAAAGTAGTGCATGTGGGAAAAATAATCCTAATTAAAAACACACAATATTTCATCTAAATGACTTCATAAAGTATAGAAGAAAGAAATCTGATAGTCACTGATTCTTTGAAGACAAGAAGTTTAGCACTATATATAGTCAGAAAGGCAAAAAGAAGTCAGGAATGACTATGTAAGGGATAGAGAACAAAATGGAAAATGCGATTAAGCAATTGTATAGATCTATGGAGCTTCCACATTTTGAACACTGCATGCAGTTCTGACACATGCCTATCCCAAAAAGATTTTCACGAAGTAGAGAACATACATAGAGAGGTGACAGGAAGATCAAAGGACCAGATCCTACCAGAAGAGCAGTAATCCTTCCATAGATAAGGAGTCCCTAGTTTAAAAAGAAGGCAGTTGAACTGAGAATATGATAAAAGTAGATAAAAAGCTGTGAAGCAAACTAAGAAATTAATAAAGACTTACTATTTCTCAACAATAAAAGAACCAGAAGCAGGGAGTATATATTTTTTTTTAAATATGAAAGTAAATATTTTCACTAAACACAGAAAATGCTCTGCTCTGCCTTGGCTTGATTCCTGTGTAGATTTTTGGGCACCACAATATAAAAAAGACATTAAGCTATTAGAAAGTATCCAGAGGAGGACAACAAAGATGGTGAAGGGCCTTGAGGGGAAGCTGTATGAGAAGTGGCTGAAGTCAC